TCCAGACCCCGGCAGAGACTGGTAAAATAACGCACTAAATAAAACAACCAGCAGTGCTAAACGGTCAAGTTTTTTCTTTGCATGAGCGGAGTTCTGCCTCTGTTAAGCAGTATTTAAACTAATGTGATAGTCCCCCACACGCCCTCTTAGCCATTAGCATCCATCCCCACCAAAACACAGGCAGGCATTTAGCAGCACGTTTCCTCCTGTGGAAGAAACAGTCTTTTCACCAGGTTTCCAATTTCACTGTACAGAGGTCTTCAGGCATTATCCGGGATGCTGACAGACAAACTGACACTTATATAGAGAGTGCTGTCACTGTCCCTCATGCATTTAAGGGATCGTATTTACTTCACACTGCCTGTGGAACACTATCCACACGCTCGTAATGAGCCGCGAAGTCAGTGGTTTGAACTTTTCATCCATATTCTGTCATGTTTCTCTTTCTTACCTTCTTATTATTCCTTTCTTTCCGCTATGTCAAATAAAGCTGGAAAATTTGTATAAAAAATTTTACCTCTCCAAAATTTGTTGCATTCTTCAAGGCAAAACCAGCTTTTTTGACCTCTTTTGACTTTCCAATTGGCATTAATCTTTTTCACAACGTTAGTCTAAGTTTCCTCCTCAACCGTCAATTGTGCTCTGTTACTTCGTGCATTGATGTAGGCCAACAGAAAACACATGGCTGAACTGTAATTGCAGAAGAATTTCATAGTGGTTGAGCCAATAATGAAGGAGACATTTTCAGTCGCAGCACCCTTCTCTGAATTCTGGAGACTGGCGTTTGGTACATGTTGAACTACAGTTATTTTGACTTTTATTTTCAGTTTGTTAAGCTGACTTCTTTCAGTGAATTATATCTCTGTTCAACTGTAACATTCAATTTCCTATTGAGTACTTAAGTCCTTGGTGTTGGTTTTTAAGCCTGTTTTATTTCTGCATGATCTTTATTTAGATCAAGCACCTTTCAGTTTTTTTCAATGCTTTACTCAGGGGTAGAATGTACAGTATTTATGAGTTCAAGTGCAGTAAGAGAAGAGCACTTTGACTTTAGGTGTTCATTTTACAGAGTTTAGCAGCATGTGGAAACAACAGATTTAAAAAAATTCAGTGTACACAGGATCTTCATTCATTCCTGAGACATTTCAAATCCTTTTATTTAGTTCTCACTCTCAATTCAAAAGGTATGATCCGATCAGACAGACCTTTTCAGCCACAGAAAGCTCAAAAGCATTTAACAAGCACCTAAAAAGCAAAAAAAAAAAACCAACAAAAAACTGTACCATCAGACATTTCCCCGCATAAATAAAGGTTTGATAAATTAAAAAATAAATAAAAATAGACCTTGTTGGAGTCATATACTGTATCTTGTTTTGAACATATTTTTCTGGGTTAATTATTTTTATATATAGGTAATCGTGGCTGTGATCTATTTATTTGTTTCGAATCCGAAAAAATTCATTCATTCATTTATTCATTCTATTTATTTGTTTATTGAGATTTTGTTTTTATTTTGTCCCCCGGCCCCTTACTTGTGCTTACCTTTACCTTTATTGGACACTCCCCTTTTACTGATAGCTGACACTTCCCTTTAAGGCGGATGCTAACCTAGAAGCCAGGTAATGCGGTAGAAGAGATGGGGGTAGCCCATAGACATATATAAGTAGATGCTGCATTAACCGCTTTCACCTGTTGCTCCGATATGTCAAAGCATCCGTCATTTTAGGAAGGGCAAGGCCTGCATGTGAACAAATACAAGTAAATGGGGGAGATGAGGATTTTCTAAATCTATAACGTTTACACTTCTCAACCGCTTTCAATGAGCCATTTAAATTAGGTTGATGATCTACATGGAGTACGAAGAAATAGTTTTTATCTTTGGTAATTTTGAATCTCGGTAGTTAAGCTATTATTGCCGTTAGATGCTCAAGAGTGGATTATGTTATCAATGTCAGACTCATTAAATGAACTGAATTACGTAGGTACGTGATGGAAAATAATTCACTGTCCTAAGGAATTGTAAATATTCATTCAAGCATAGATCTAGCTTCTATATTCTGAAACCGGGAGAGTGTGAAAAAAAATAACGTTAACATTACCCCGAGACCAATCTCTGAAAATGGCCATTTTAATGCCTTTAAGAGCCTTAGTTTTCACTACATTTATTTATCAACATTTTTTTTTTTAAAGATTATTTTTTTGGGAATTTTTCCTTTATTTGATAGTTATATGGTGCAGAGAGACAGGAGGGCTGGGGAGAAGAATGGGGGTAGAAATGCGGCAAATGACCCGAGCCGGAATCGAACCCAGGTCGCTGCAGGAAGGACACAGCCTCCATGGTATGCGTGCTTAGACCGATGAGCCACCGGGGCGCCCCTATTTATCAACATTTAATACTGTCTAGACCCTGTTAAAAGTCTCAGCTTTCATTGCTAGCTTGCGTTACCGTTATCAATAATGTCAGCTTAGCTATAAACTGTCTGACTCTGATGGCCAGTTAGCTCTCAACCCAAAGTTATAATGGCCAGATATAACCAAAAACAAATATTCAGGCTTAACTTACTTATGAAAGGTAATTCCTCCAGATCAGTTTTCAAGTGTTTGACGATTCATGTGGCCCTAGGCTGCACAAGAGTAAGACATCTATTCCACTCCGTCTCCACACTAGTCCTGGTCGGCTGATTGCAAGGTGCCCTCCGTGATATGGCGGCGATTTTGATGTACACTCTAGCGGCTAATGCGGCGTCTACGTAAATAGAGTATGTCTATGGGGGTAGCCATACAAATTTTCTACCTCACAAACCATTATTGTTATATCAGCAACATTGTTATTTTTCCCTTTGTGCTTTTGAAATCATAAGCCTGGCAATTTGCACATTTTTCGAAGACGTGAATTAATCTTGATTTAATCTCGAATTGGAACTGGAGTTTTTTCATTTTTAAGCTGCGTCTGAATGGTTATCTTGTTTTCCATGGCTTATAAAGTGTGAGGCTTTGCCTCCAGCCCTCCTCCCATTCACATTCCTCCTACCACATAATTATTGTCTGCACCTGGCAGCTTGTTTGCACTGAGAGGCAAGCAGGCAGCATACAAGGCTGAGCTGTGCTCAGCCTTATTAGCGTTGCATTTGTGTTACCAGTGCTGGTCAGTGGTTTTAGCAGTCCTCATCCACCTTAGTTTCTCTTTAGTTTTACTTAGGTTTTGTAATGTTTATCTTTATATTTGTTTTATGCTTAGTGGAACACTGTTTCCCTTTTTTTTGTGTTTTGTCTTTTGTAATTAATTCTTCACTCACTCCAGAGCCTTGCACTTGAGTCCTGTCCCTGTTTTCCTGCTCGCCAGACAGCCGTTTGGCATTCGGTGGGCATTCTCTGACATAAAGCTTTGAAATGTCAGACGCCGACACGTGTTCGGTTGGTGAAGATGGCACAGCTCCGCAACACTTCGGGACATAAAGCAGCTCTATGAGCCGGCATTGGGCACTGATGTGTGCTGAAGAACGTGGCTTCCGAGGAAAGTGTGTAACACCCACCGTGCAACGAAACCCCAAAGGAAACAGCGCCAGACCAGAGAGAATTACAGTGGCTGAGATAAGGGGAAGGGATCAAAATGGCAAACACATCAGGGTGTTTCCTGTGTGAGTGTGGGTGTGAATTTGTGGCTGTTTGTTGTGACAAACATCAAAGACGTTTGCTGTTGGAAGCAGGGATAGCTGGTGAGGTTACTTGCTTGTGAGAAGCATCTCAGTTTGTCTGTTCTTCAGTCAGAACAGAAACTTAAAATGGATGAAACATTTCCTGCAAACTGAACTAGAACTGCAGTTGTCTCAACTTAATTTCCTCCAAGTTCTCATGTGGGAACAATGCAGGCAATCAGAGAAGTGATTTATACATCACAGATCCTTCTTAAAGGTAACCAATTTGTTCCATATCCTCAACTTTCTTTCCGCATGATTTGCCAGGCTGTTCCAATAAAAATATTTGTGAGTTTTATTGTCGTCCTCGACCCCTAACAAGGATAAATTCCAAAGGAAAGCAATCACTCGACTGTTACAATCAGCCATTGTGGTGGCTGGACCGCAGCCATTTTACGTGCCTACTACTTAATACGCATGAGCTATTTGCATGAAAAGTCACGTCAGATCAATCATCAGATTCGACTGCTAGTAAATGAATTACATATATGCGTTAGATATTCATGACCATAAATATGTCTCATTACAAATATGGGATGATTTCAAGTACATTAACGATCTGAAAGTGCTTAGAAACAGGGAAATCGTCATTTTGCACCAGGCATAAAGTTTACTTGCGTATCCAGCAAAAGTTTGACCACATCTTAATCGGAAATATCTCCAAACCTGGCTTTAAAAGTTTGCCAGCGATCACTTCCTGGCCTTTTCTAGCACTTTTACAGACCGAATCAGTTTGATATTTCTTTGGCCACGGCATTTTGCAGTTGGCAAACCTCATTTCTGCGTCCACCGCGCATATCCTCTTTCGCGTGACATCATTTTTGCATACTAATGAATACTAATGAGGTATTTCAAATGGTGCGGGGAGTTTTTGCGGCTTGCAAAAACTATTTTCACATTCAATATTTGCGGGATTGCAAGCGTTCTCAGAGAAAACATTTATTTATTCCCGTTTGTTTTGGTCATATCTATTAAATTATATTTAAAAAAAGAACAGATTGGTTACCTTTAATTTGGCCTGACCGTTAAGTGGACTCCAAAGCAGCTTTCCAAACCTTTCAAATGGATTCACACAGGAGAGCGCTCAGTCTTAAATGAACGCTAATTGAGCACGAGTCGTTCCCACTGGTCTTACATGTAATATGCTGGAGTTGACACAATAATGGAGATTTTATTGTGCACAAAAACACTGGATAGAGAACAAACAGTCTTCTCAGTGCGGGGACTGACGCAGTCTGTGTGAATGTGTGTAATGCTGTCTAGCTGGTCAGACATTTCGGTCTTTCCCAGCAGTGTCTGAAATCTAACTGGGGGGCACAGTGGATAGCGCTGTTACCCCACAATAAGGAGGTTTTGGGTTCGAGTCTCAGCTAGTTGTGATTCTAACCAAGCAGAAGCACACCTGATTTAATCATCTGATCTACTACCACTACTTATTTAATCATCTGATCTCAGTCTGCACAGTCAATTAACTGTATTAGGTGAGCTTCTGCTCAGCTAGACTGAAAATCTGCAGCCTCTCAGCCCTTTTATGGACCAGTTTGACACCCCAGCCCTATTGCAACACTCATACCAGTGCCCCTGGCCAAGGCTCTAACTTTAGAACTGGAGTTGGCCCCTGGGCTCCTAAGTAACTAGGATGGGCAAATGCAGAGGACAACTTACCTAAGGGGGTCAATAAAGTATATCTGATCTTAATTTCCTCCAAGTTATAATGTGGAAACAACATCAGTTAATCAGAGGGTGTCCCAACAATTCTCTTTAGATGTACTTCAGTAGGGATGTCGCTTCCTAAAAAAACCATTTGGTATGCCAGCCTACCCCACCCTGCAGTGATTCTTGTGAGCCCTCTCCTGCTGTGCATACCCCACCCCTCCTCTTGAGATTACCCCATTCTACAGTCTCATGCTGAACATGTCCTCCATAAGCCATTTAACCAACACCACAGTGCAGATACATATAAGCACAAATAAAGTGCTCCAAATGCAGACTGAAGCTTAATTGTGTGAAAGCCTTAATGCGATCTGTCATTCTCTACTGTGACAGCAACATGCAGCATCTCCCAGTAAATCTGTGAGAAATATTTCTATTCAGTGGCATGACACAGGGCAGGTGAAGTCTTTAAAAGGTTTAATCTCTGAAAAGCAGACAAGCTAGCCACCGAATCGGATCAGAGAGAATTTCCAAGTAGTGCAAATTCAGTTCCTCGGGAACATTATTAATTAGGCCTACAGGGGCTGTTTTAATTGAGGGTGGTGAGGGTAATTGTTAAGAGTTTCAACTTTGAGGCAACTTCAACAGTAAAATTCTTAAATAACAATAACAGCCACAAACTCCTAATGAATAAATGCATGAGTGGAACAGAAGTAATGCGACAGCAGCACATACCACACGCTAAACTATTAGGATTAGCATTACACATGAGGTCAGAAGTTCTTCCCATACACATAATTCAGTTACACACATATACATGCACAGACTCATGCTCACACAGACACACGCAGACTCATGCACACACACGCATGCATACGGACGCGCGCGCACACACACACACACATGCAGACTCATGCAAACACACACACATACAGACTTATGCTCACATGCACAAATACACTTGTTGTTTCGCTCTCTCACTCTCACACGCACAAACACAAACGCACACACACACGCACACACACAATTCCTTGATGAGGCTCAGGTAGCAGAGCAGTAGGTCTAGTCCAAGACCCCAATCTGAGAGACCAAGAAAAGGTTAACAAACATAAAATCTATGATCATATCAATTACCACATAGTTTTACATCATTTTAGGTATCTTTTTTTCTGGATTATTCTCAACTACACAATCATTAAATCAACCACAAACTTTCCACAACTATTTCCTCTGTACTGCCAGCCTCTCTAAGTTCCTACAGCACCCATGGTGTTAAAGAGGACTTATCAGATGCTGCTTTAGTCTCCTTAATTATTACAGCAGCACAGACTGAGGCTCAAACACTCAAAACCCCATCAGAGCCTCTAATGAGGAGTCAGAGAGGAACTGCGGTTTATTTTCAGCAGAGATGATGGGTGATGAAATAAGATCATCCACTCACAAATGTTATGGAAAAGCTGAGTAGCGATTGAAGGAAAATTCAAGTAAAAGTCAGCTTGGAGGGAGGAGGACTCAGATCACTGATCATTTAGCGCAAACTGTGATATGAGGGAAAAACTAAATCATTCAAGGTCGAACTTGACCAGAGAGAAAAACAGATCCAAGAGTTTAATTTCTTACTTCTTAAAAGAACGTCACCCCCTCCCACTTATTTTTTACTTCAGCTCACCAGTACAAATATTCTCCACAGATTACTTTTGAAATGAAGCAGGCATGATAAAGGATTTTTTCTCTTTTGAAAGAATATTTGGATTTTCCAACAATAGTCACTCACATAGGGCTAGGACAATCGGATAAAAACTCATTCAAATTGGAAAAGAAATTTGTGGGAATGGACATCGTAACAGCTCCTGAATTTATTTTTTTAAAATCTGGCCGGTGTCTTTTCTGTGTGGAGTTTGCATGTTCTCCCCGCGTTCATACGAGTTTCCCTGGGTACTCCGGTTTCTTCCTACAGTCAGAAGACATGTATGTCCGGCTAATTGGAGACTCTAAATTGCCTATATGCATGTGAGTGAATGGTGTGTGACCATTGCGATAGATTGGCAATCTGTTCAGGGCGTGTTTTTGCTTTTCGCCCAAAGTCACCTGGGATAGGCTTCAGCTCTTCCATAACCCTAGTGAGGAAGTACGAGTTCAGATAATAGATGGATGGATAATGATCAGCATGTTGGTATATATTGCTTAAATTGAACACATTGATCATTCTTCCCTTGTGTGGTTGCTTATTGTATCACATATCCTGCGGACAGAACCATTATCTGGGTGTACACCTTCATGTAAGCCTTTAGACCTCTGCTTTACCACACTTTTCAAGCTTTTAAAAATCTCTGTAAAAAGGAGAAAACCAAATCAGGTCATCTAGAGTTCAAATGATTTTCCTGGCTGGAACAAACAGCATTAAATTTAATTTTATTCTCGCTAACGTTACACACATTGATTATTACTCCAGCCGAGACAGCAATATGCTGACATATCACAAGCTGCCAGAGTATAGACCCTGCAGTCCCAAACTCAGGAGTCTTATTCTATGGACAGTATTTATGAGCCTGGAAAGACACGAGGTGACTCACAGTCATTAAATAACGGGAGATCCTCAGTGCAACTGCCGAGCTGGTCAGAGACTGGAGTCAGAAGAGTGAAAAGTGAAAACATCTGTAGGCCAGTACAGATTCAGTCTGCATTTATCAACCAAACCAGGAAAGACTCAGCCTTCATTTGTTAACCAAACCATAAGGGTGTGAAGGTTTTATAATATTCATTCTCATTGGCCCGTATTGGTCAATGTTTTGGCATTATACAACGTACTAAAAGTGCATCAACGCTGTCACAATCTAGAACTGGAGCTTGGTCTACAAAACGTGACTCACTGAATTATTATCTAAATTACTGCACAAAGTGAAAACCAGTAGCTTTCATATTCCAGAGCATGCACTTAAATTAAAACATCTTTTCTTTACTCTGTGAGGTTACACACTTAACTCAATGATCCTGATTTGTGGAAAGGGTTCAGATCAACAAATATTAGATATTAAAGGTTCTTGTGAGACAAGATGAGGCGTCAAATTTTCTTCATAGCAAAATTCATGTTTCTGAGGATAATTTTCCCTTTTTAGTCACATTAAGAAATAACTGTGCAGGCCCTGAAGAGCATCATATCCATATTATAACACTGTATATTGCACATGCTTTTGCATTGCATAAAAAGAGGGGGAACTTTATCATTTATGAAATTAAATAATCAATTGGCTCCTAATTTGTGAAAGTGTGGACACACGGTCACTTAAACATAGCCATTTGGTGGTTAATGACATATTAAAAGACAAATGATGAGGGGTAATGCTCCTCTGGAAACCCATGCCGCTGGGATAGGACCGCCCCCACTCCTGGATTGGAGGCATCCACAGTAAAGGGTTTATTTAGATCAGGAAGCTTTAGGATGGGGGCTGTCGTAAGTCAGAGTTTAAACTCCTCAAAGGTGCACTGAGCCTCTGGATTCCAAGTTAAGACCCATGGCTTCCCCTTGAGCAGTGACATGAGGGTTTAGGCAACCATACTGAAATTATGGATGAAACAGCAGAAAAAGTTGCCAAACCTCAGGAAGTATTGGAGCTCTTTAGCCTACCTTGGGACTGGCTAATCTGCTACCACCTCAATCTTCCTTTTCTCAATTGCCACTCCCTCTAGCCCAATCACGTATCCGAGAAAGGAGATAGTGGTTTGATGGAAGAGGCACTTCACGTAGAGCTGGTGATCCAATAAATGGGCTGGCAACCTCTTAACAAGACAAACATGCTCAGGGTGGGTGGAGGAATACACCAGAATGTAATCTATATAGGCCATGATGTAATGTCCAAGTATGTCTCGTAGGATGTCATTGATGAAGGACTGAAACACGGAAGGGGCATTAACCAGCCCGTATGGCATCACACAGTACTCGTAGTTACCAGAGGTGGTACTGAAGGTCGTCTTCCATTCGTCTCCCTCTTGGATACAGATTAGGTTGTAGGTGCTGTGCAGGTCAAACTTTGGAAAGTACTTCACTCCCCGGAGCTGCTCTACTGCACTTGGGACCCGAGGGAGAGGATACCAGTATTTTACTATGACTTCATTAAGTCCCCGTAATTGATGCAAGGGCAGAGTCCTCCATCTTTCTTCTCCACGAAGACAAAGCTGACTAAAGCGGGGAAAGTGGATGGTCAAATGAACCCGTGCCGGAGCGCTTCTTCTATGTACTGGTCCATGGCTGCTGTTTCTGCGACAGATAGTGGGGACACAAAAATTCATGGAGGTGATGCACTGGAAAGCAGCTCTATAGCACAGTCCCATGGACAATGAGGGGGAAGTTGTGTGACCTTTTTTTTGCTTCCTCGGAATTATGAGGGTGGAAGCAGTGTTGGGCTCTCGATGGCGGTAGCAGCAATGGAGAGGGGGCTACAGTGCTGCCGACAGTGTTGGAACCAGACAGTGACCTGCTGTTGTTGCCATGATATGGTGGGATTGTGCTGGTTGAGCCGCAGTAAACCATGGACTATGGGTTGATTGGATATTGGTAGAACCAGGAAGGGAATCTCCTCCTTGTGGCTATGCTGAACAGTGGGGGAGAGGAGAGCCGTCTGCTGGAGGATGCTTCCACTTTCGATGGGTTTGCCATCTAGCACTATCACGGAAATTGGAGCCTTGAGTTAGTACGCGGGAGGCAGAGCCGTCTGAGCAGCGATAAA